GCGTCCCAGATCGCGCCAGACCCCCCCGCCTACGGAGAGGTGGGGGAGCGGTCGGTGTGCAGGTCCAGTTCTTGGACCAGCTGCCTCCGACAACGTTCTTCCCCGATCTCGCGGCCTCTGGCCTTGTACTCCTCCAGACGGGACCCTGGCAGAGGTGCCTCCCAGGCCGGCCAATATGGCAGATCCCATGACCCCAGTAGACGCAGCGATGCACTTGACCACGTGCGCCTGGGCGCCAGGTGGGCGCGTGCGAAAATTGCCTTGCAGAGATCGACGTCGGGCAGCCTCCAGAGACCCGCCCTCCTCACCGCAGCGTCCAGGACCGCGCGCCCCGAGCCCGAGAGTGTCCAGCCCAGTTCCGCGATGGCTGGGGCCGCTATCTCTCCTTGAGGGCAGTCCAGGAAAGTCCGCGCCGATGTTGCGTAGCAGCCGTCCAAGTCGGAAGGGGTCCGTCCGCGATGGCGCAGGGCCACCGGCCGACGCGGAGGGATGGATCGATCTTGGACTCAAAGATCCCGGCTGCCGCGGCCAGGGGAAGGAGGCCATTATAGAGACTTGTCCCGCCAGGGTGGCGCGTTGCGCGGATGCCGCCTCCGGGCGGGAGCTCGGCGGGCACGCCAGGGTCAGGTTCCCAGCCCATCGCAGACCGAGCCGCTTACGCGACGAGGGCACGGGGCCGAATGGGCTGGGGACCGCGCAGCCAGAGGGCTGCTGGCGGGGCAGCTCACCTTCGGTTCGCGCATGCTCGCCACCACGGACCACCACCGCATGCTCAGCAGGTCTGGTGCGCGGGGAAGTCTCCTGGCGACTGCCGCGCAGCTCCCCGCGAGGGCGCCAGCAGATCGGTGTCGCCCGCATGGATGGGGGGCGACCGCGAACCGCAACGGCGCGGTTGCGTCTATCGCCGCGAGCGCCAACGCCTCCAGATCCACGCCCCCAGCAAGGCCCCGGGGCGAGGGGGCGCCGCGTGCCTGTGTGAGCGCCGTCGTTGCCCCCTGGGTGGGTGCGCCCGTGCTTGGCCATCTGCGCTGCGCCCAGGTGGGAGGGGCGCTCGCCCCCGCGCCCTCGCCGCGGCCTGCCGCTCGCAGCATCGCCGCCAGAGAGCCAACGTATACGGGGAAAGTAGAAGGGGCCCACTCGTGCCCCCCTGCGCAATCCCTGGAGCGACGCCGACGGCTTGGGCCCCGATGCAGCTAGCGCCGTCGCGGTCCGTGCTCATGATGCTGGCTAGAAAGGCATCTAATTCAGTCGGGCCTGTCCCTCTACAGGGGGAAAACTCAAAGATAGTCAAAACATAGTCTGGGGATTCTTTTTGTTGGGGGTATCTTTTTGACAACTTTGGAGTATGTTTGAACATGTTTTAGTTTTCGTCGAGAATCCCCATGTAGGGGGACACGCCCGACCTAAGCATAGATGCCGTCTGCCAGGCCCGCTGTCTCCCTGAGCCATGAGGCAGACGACGGAGGTTTCCCGCCGCGCTCGCCGCGCTCGCGGGAAGGCCTTCTTGGGGTCCCCAAGCATGGCCCCCCCTCCCCCTCCTCCTCCTCCTCCTCCTCCTCCTCCTCCTCCTCCTCCTCCTCCTCCTCCTCCTCCTCCTCCTCCTCCTCCTCTCTACCGCGCGTCCTAAGGGGCGGCAAAGAGGGGGGCCCTCTTGGACGCCCCCCTCTTTGCCGCCCCCGAAACCGTGAGTTCTTGATGCCGCGTGCGCGGAGCAGCGCGCGTCGCGCGCGGCGACAGGAGCGCGCGATCTGTTCACGGCAGTGAGAGGGAGCGTCTAGCAGCGTTGGCGGCTCCGCGGCTGGCACTTCACCGCCGTAGCCATCAGTTCTGCCGTCGTCGCCGTCGTGGTCGGGGCAGTAGTCGTCGTCTCCATCGCTGTGTATGTATTCTGAGTCCACTTCCTGCTCGCCGCATCATGGTAGCTTCGGCCCCGCCATCGCCGCTGCCATCGCGATGGCGCAACGCTGGATGCTCGTCTGGCAGAGGGGCTACAGAAGCCGCAGAGGGCCTGGGAGAGGCCACTTGGTCACGTCGGCCGCCTCCGAGCCCCAACCCCCCCCCACCGCTTGCGATAACTGCTCCGCCCGCCCTCCTCCTCCTCCTCTTCCTCCTCCGACTCCTCCTCCTCCGCGCCCCCTACCCGTGCGAAGGCACGTGCAGGTCAGTCCCTGTGGAGGCGTGGGCAGGTTAGCTCCTTTGGAACCACGCGCTGCTACCTGCTGCGCAGGCACTGGCAGGTGGGCGAGCTGCCGTTTCCCACCGTCGTCGATTTTCCCGCCCCGTTTCCGCCAGGTGGTCGAGAGCGATATAGGGCGCACGCGCCTGGCCCTCCCGCAGTGCATCATCGCGCGCTTGGCGCTCGGGATTCGCCTCCCTTTCCTCCACAACGCCCCTCCCCCGCCCCGCCCCGCGATCGCTCGAGCGGCGACAGGGGGGGGCGGCGCGCTTACTCCAGGGCAGCGAGGCCTCAGGGCACTGCCGCCTCGCGGCGGGGGGGGGCAGGGCGCTCCAGCTCCGGCGACGGGGAGCGTCTCGGGCGCCCTCGCCTCGCGACGGCGAGCTTCGGGGCTTCGCTTCGCGCCGGGCGCCACCTCTCGGGCGGCGGCGTTTCGAGCGGGCCCGAGCGGTCGGGCCATGTTTTCTCTTGTGTTGTGCAAGGAGGCGGAGCCGTGATCGCGGAGCGCTGCGACATGCTAGCCGCGGCCAGCTGACAAGTGAAGGTCAGCAGGTCAGAAGAGGCAGGCGAGCGGACAGCTGGAAGCCCGGCGGGCCCGACCGCGCGGCCCGAGCAATCCGGCCAGAGCCATCAGCACGAACGCGCGTCGGCCTCGACAGACAGTTGGTAAACCACGCCGGCCCAGAATTCAATGTGAACTTCCGTCCATGTCCGTGCGGTTCCGCTGTGAACATCCAGTGGAGAACTTGTGATCTGCTCTGTTCGCTGTTCACCAGTTCGCGCGCCCTGTTCCGAGCGCACTTTTCCGTGCGAAATGCACGCGGCATTCACTGGCGCAGCTTGCCCTGACTCCACATGTCACCACCCACCAAACCACCCCAGCCCAACCCGAAGGCTTCAAGTTGTCCTCCATTTCCATTGGGGGGGGGCCGGGGGACATGGGAAAAACACAGATGGAACCCGTACCTCCCCCAACCCGAGATTCAGATCTTCGGGTTGGGTTGGGGTGGTCCGGTAGGTAGTCAACATGAGTTTTCACGTCAACGCCCCCCCGCGCCGCGACGGCCTACCCACCTGGGGGCCTGAAGCGCGCCGAACAGGCGCGCGCGCTGGAGGGCGGGCCCGCGGACTACCAAGCCTTTACGTCGGGTCTGTCCCTCTACAGGGGGGAATGTTCAAAACTACTAATAAAAAAGGTCGGGGGACTATCTGTTTAGAGTGTTTAGAAGCATTTGGGGTGAAGATGTTTGTATTTTTTCGGGTCCGTCCCTCTACAGGGGGGAATGTTCAAAAATAGTACAAACAAATCGTCGGGGGACGATTTTGTCAGTATTCTGGAGCATTTGGGGTGAAGATTTTGCATTTTTTCGGGTTCGTCCGAAATCCCCCAGTCTGGGGGACGTGCCCGACCTAAGACTACCTGAGGAGGGTCTGGCCCCCGTTGCGGCGCGCCCGCAGAAGCCCCCAACGCCAAGTCCAAGGAAGGCCCCGCGAGAGCCCAGTGAAGGTTCGAGAAAGTCCCGCGAACATCGAAAGACGGCCCAAGATGGCCGCAAGAGGGTTTCAAAAGTGGCGTGTTCGTTCATTCTCTGCGCCTTTTTTCGGGGGGTGGGCCCCTCGCGGGGCCTTCTCTGGGCCGTCGTGGAGCCCTCCCTCGGGGACCTCAGGGGTTCTCCAGGGCCGATTGGGGGGCCGAAGATGATTTCAGCAGGGCTCGATCAGGAGCTCGGGCTTGCTCGTTTTGAGGGGCGCTCAAATCGCGCGCCCCCAAGCCTCTCGCGGGCGCCTCTCGGGGCCTTGTCGGGGCCCTCGTGCAGGGCCCGGGAGTTCCGAGAGGGGCCCGAGAGGGCCCAACAAGAGCCCAGTGCGATTTCTAAACAGGACACCCGCAGGGCCAGCAGAGGGGCCCGAAGGGCCCAGGGCCCTGGAAGTGGCGCATTCGTGCCCATGCCTTGCGCCTCTTTCTCTCCCTTGGCGTCGCTCGGAAGTGTTTTTTTTATCGGCGAGGACCTTCGAGGAACGTCCCTCGACCATCGGACCAAATGAGCACGCACGAAACCGAACATGACGTCCGACCGACGGCGAGCTCCTGGAATCAAGGGTGGAATATCCACCCCGACCCCGACAATTCGCGTTTACCACAAAGCCCTGGGCGCTTCCTAAACAGCCCTGCCCCGCTCGCTTCCTTCCATGGGTGCGTTTCCTAAGCGGCCTCGCTTGTCGGGGTGCTTCTTATGGGGGTGGAGTTTCTGCTCTCTATGGCACCTTCTCTCGGGCGAAGAGAACTATGCACATGCACCGATCCTGGCAAGGCCCATCTTTGACCCAGGATCGGTGCATATGCCTTCCTGGCCAAGGTTGGAGGGCGTATGCACCGATCCTGGGCTCAGGATGGGCCTGGCCAGAGTCGTTGTATGCGCATAGTTTTTGTTTCCTCTATTCCCTGAGCCCTGTCGGGGCCCTCGGGTGCCTCGGAGTCTCTCCCACGCCGTGTTTTGGGGGGGGCCGGAGGCCCGCCGGGCGCCGACAAGAGCGGAGCGCCCGCGGGCTCATCCGCGGGCCCCGGCCGCCAGCGTGGCCGAGGCCACGTCGACGCAGCGCGACTGCGCTGGGCCGTGGCGCGCGTCGCCAGGGCGGATTCGGATGCTCAGAGGAGGGAAAGGTACCCATTACCTCTACCCTTTCCTCGTTTTCCCCCTTCTTGCCCGTGCTGGGCCTCTGTCGTCGCCACCGCTGGCTTCGCCTCGAAATCCTAGTCAGATCGCACCCCAGGAGAGGTCCGGGGAATAGTGGTATCGGTACCTTTCGATTTCCCCAGATGTACCGACTTAGGAAGGGAAGTGGAATCTTCGCCGGCTCACCGGCGCCCGCCAGGGGATTTTGATGACTGAGGTGCCAGGCATGGGCAGAAGACATTGGTCTCGATCTCCGTGAACTTCGTCGGGCTGCAGGGTTGACGGGCACTGCCGCTTCTGCCGCCGCTGCTTTCCGATGTTGATGTGGTCCTGCTCTTTGCTCGGGTTTCGTGACCTCTCTGCCCGATGACCGACCGATGAGGAGGAGGAGGAGGCGGAGGAGGAGGAGGAGGAGGAGGAAGAGAAAGAGGAGGAGGAGGAGGAGGAGGAGGAGGAGGAGGAGGAGGAGGAGGAGCAGGAGGAGGAGCCCGGTGGAAAAGCCGGAGCCCCGAGGTGCAGGAGAGCTGCAGGCAGGGCGGCCAGCCGCCGAGGCCGCCGGGCGCCCCGGGCGCCTCGGGCTCTCGGGGCCCGGCGGTGGAGATGGAGATGGCGACCATGACGGGAGGCGCTGCGGTCCGCGGGGCGGAGGTAGGATTTCTCTGCACGAACGAAATGGGTCTCATTTCGGGGGGGGTCTTTTCCAGGCTATCTTGGAGGGCCTGGGGGGGTCTGGGGACGATGTTCTGGAGGGTTCTCCCACGGGGGGGGGGTCTGAAATGGCTTGTCTTGGAGGGTCCAGACCCCCTCCCTTTTATTACGAAATCTGGAGTACAATGCCCAACAGCGGATCCAGTTCATTCTGAGCAGGGCTCGTTCTCCACGCCGCCGCGGCCTGTGTCCATTCGAGACAGAAGGCCGCCTGCCCAACAGCGGCCGCTGTCGGTTTGGGACAACATTTGTTGTTGGGCATTGTACCCATTTTTGTCGGTGCCCATTTCGGGCGTCCAAAAAGGTAGGATTTCAGGAGCGAAAGAAGGACGTACATGTACATGAGTCCAGGCTGGTTTCGAGAGTTCGCACTGCGCGAATGTTCGCATTGCGCGGCAGGTCTCGCGGGTCGAGGGGCCGTGTTCATGTACATAGTTGGGCGCGTACGTTCTTTGCGGGCTCCCTAGGATTGGGTTGGACGGGGCGACATTTCTCTTCAAGAAGGCACAACGTCAAAACCGTAACGTCTGCGCTGGGCCCCCCTGGCGGCGCCTCCGGCGCCGCCCCTGGCGCGCTCCGCGCGCCAGGGAGGGCGGTCCAGCGCAGATCCAAAAGTTTATGTTTGTGCTGTTTTTCTCTTCTTCTAGAAGCGGCACTTTCGGACGTGCTTGTCGGTTCTTGGCAGTTCTCCAGTTTCGGCATGCTCTCCAGCTGCTGCGCTTCCCCGAGAGCGTTCGTGGGGTACCCAGATCGTCCCGAACGGCCGTTGGAGACCGAAGTTATGACCCGAGTTCTAGGCGACGAGGAGCACTCGGGTCGGACGAACAGGGGGGGGGAGTGGGGCAAGCGCCTCTGGACAGAACGGACGGGAAACACACGTCACCCTTAGACATGTGTGGAACACAGTCCTGCTTCCAGACGGCCCCGCCTGAATCTTGGTATATATATATATATATATATATATATATATCGCGAGGTGCACCCGGGCTCTCCGAAGTCTGCGAAGGCCGTCGTGGGTTCCCGGGCGACGCCGCCTCCGGTTGCGGGGGGGGGGTGCAGGGGGTGCAGCGCAGGGAGGAGGATGGGAGGGTGGGGGCGGCAGAGGCCTGCCAGCACTCCGGGCGGCAGGTCTCGCAGGCCTGAGCCCCGGGGTGCCGCCGGCCTGCGGCCACGCGCCGCACACGGCGCGCACTCCGCGCGGCCGCGGCCGGCGAGAGGGCGGAGGCCAGGGGCAGCGGAGGCAGGGGAGGTCGGAAGGGCCCGAGGGGGCCGTCGGGCTCCCCAGAGGGTCCCACCGGCGTTCGGGGCGCGCCCCGGCCTCCGAGCAGAGAGGGGGGGGGCTTTTGCGAGGGGGGGGGGAGGGCCTAGGGGAACACAACGTGACCAGCGCCGATGCGAGAAAGCCGCGCGGACCTGCGAGTTTTGAGGTTTTTGTGCCACTTTTTCTTCCCCTGTAGGGGCGCAGGCAGCGGGGGAGGCCCCGGTGGGTGGGCGGGGGTGGGGGGCGCGTGGCCCCCGACCTGCCATGGGGGGCCGACAGGAGCAGCACCACATCAGAGAAGCGATGAGATCGGCCTGTGCAAGTGTCGAGCGCGGTGCAGGGTAGTCAACGCTCCTTCCTAAAAGGAGAACAGACTCTACCCCCCCCCCCTTTCGGGTACGTAAAATCATGTATGATTCTGACCGCAGGTCCATCCGAAATATGCGGGGGTTCGGTTTTCTGCTACGGATGGGGCCGGGGTGGGGTGGCCAGGCGGGCAGCGACGACGACGACGAGAGCGACGAGAGCGACGAGAGCGACGAGAGCGACGAGAGCGCCGAGGACGGGGGGGAGAGGACGACGACGAGGGGGCGGAGGGCCAGCACCCCCGTCCGTCATATCGGCCCAAGCAGAGAGCAAGGGCAGAGGGGAGAAACCCAACGGAGTCACATTGGAGCCATGTTGGGGTAACCTTGAGGTCAACTAGGATTCACGAGTAAAATTTTGGGCAATCTCGAGGTCGTCTAGGGGGCGGCTTTCGTATGTCACGGAATACCCTTTGGATGCGGCGTTATGTTATGGCGGCGTTGTTGGTGGTGCCGGTATTTGTGTTTTGTTTGTGGTTGTTGCCCTCATGGCAGTTTTTGTGTTTGTCATTGTTGTCGTGGTCATCTTTATTGTTGGTGTTGTTGGTTTTGGTGTTGGCGTTGTTGTTGCCTTGGTGCTGTTGTCGATGCTGTTGATGTGGTTGTTGTTGGTGTTGTTGTTGCTGTTGCTGTTGCAGAGGATTTTGTTTGTGTCATTGCTGCAGTTGTTGTTGTGATGTTATGCTAGTGTTGTTGTTGATGCTGTTGTTGATGTCTGCAACTTAGGTGTTGTTGTTGCTGCTGCTGTGCGCCTCAATGGAAATCAACACAAAGTCGGGAGGGGGGACAACAATCATTGATCCTTGTGTAATGAATGGCAGCTCCAACAATACCAACAACAGTCGCAACGGCAACATCAACAACAACAATAACAAAACGAAGGACGACGACACCAACACCATTCTTTTTGATACCAGAAACCGATTTTTGTTGGTCGTTCGGCTGGCCCTGCGCTCAACGCCCCCGGACGGGACACACAATCGGCGAAGACACCGAGTGAACAAATGAGTAGCACCAGCAACATGACAACACCAAACATAGCAACCATACCACAACACAGCCATCTTTCAGAGCAAAGACAGCAAGCGGATCAGCAGCAATACAAATCATACCAAAGACATCGTGCTTATATATGAAACATTCCGCACAGCAGTGCGTGGTTAATGAATCCTCTGGCGTGCTGTGGTCTGATCGCAGCGAAAGCCACCAGCAATGCTAGCAAGTCGTATGATCCGCACGACAGAAACAGCAGCAACAACACCAATAACAGAAAGCAGCAACAACCCAACTACAATAGCAACAACAAATCCAAAACAACAGGCAACAGCACCAACAACGCCACCGTAAGATGACGCCGCCTCCAAGGGGTATTCCGTGACATACAAACGACGGTTCCGAGACGATTTCGAGAGATGACCCCGTGAACCCCACGTGACACCACGGTTCCCCAAAATGCTCCATGACTCCGAGGCGTTTCGTCCTTCTGTCCTTGCTCTCGGGTTGGGCCAATCGGACGGATGGGGGTGCTGGCCCTCCGCCCCCTCAACGTCGTCCTCTTCCCTCTCCCCCTCGTCGCCCTCGCCGTCGTCGTGGTCGCTGTCCGCCTGGCCTCCCGGCCCCATGCATGGCAGAAAACTGAATCCCTAACACAAGCCGAATCCATCTGATCAGGACCTTTTGGCGTTGAAGCGTAGTAGAGTTTTTGAGCGGTCCTAGCAAGTTCATAGGTCTAAAGGGCATTCTGTCTGCATCTTGGAAGGTCAGGTTCCGGGTCAGGAAGGGGGGGCAGAAGAGCAGGCGGAAGAGGGAGGAGGCCCTCGAAGGCCGCTCGAGGCTTCTGGAGGCCACAGCGAAGGCCAGGGAAGGCCGCAGAGGAGCACCCCCCCCCCATGGCCGCGCCAGGCCGGTCTGCGGCGGTGCAGCCCGCGCAGCAGCAGATGGGGCGGCCGCCGCTGGTGCAGCCGCCGCGAGAGGTGATGCGGCAGAGGACCGCTCGGGGGGGGGGGCGAAAGAGTATCAATCAGGAGGGGGAAAAACACACAGACACAATTAATCTTCGATTCCCCAGAAAATATGGAAAAATATGGGAATTGTGGGGAAAGACAGAAACCCAGAAAATATAGGAAAATATTGGGAATAGTTTTGTTTGTGTGTATTTATTTGTTTGTCCTGGTGCCCCTTCAATCAATGTCACGCCGCCGCGGGGGCCCCCAGGGCCCCATCGGCGTGCTCCTGCCGGTGTGGGTCGTCTTGTGGGGGCGAAGAAGGAGGGAGCAACACGCCGCCCTGTGGCCCGGGGGGCCCCCGCGGCGGCGGCGTGGCATTGATGCTCCCTCGTCCCCCCGGAACCGGACTCAGAGGAGGAAAAAAGTACCTATACCTCTACCCTCCCCTCGCCTTCCCCTTGTTGGGCCTCCTGGGCCTCCATCGTCGTCGCCGCTGGCTTCGCCTCGACAGCCTGATCAGAACGCACCCCAGGAGAGGTCCGGAGAGTAGCGGTATCGGTACCTATTGGTGTCCCCAAGGAACATGCAGAACATGCAGCAGCAGGCGTCGCCGTGGATGGAAGGGGTCCCGGGCGAGACTCCTGGCCTCCCAGATGGGGTCGGAGTAATACAATGGGGCCAGAGCGTATCGTCGGTGCATCGGCGATGCGGCTCGATGCGGAGCCCGATATTCTCCACGCCGAGGCGCACATGCATCGCCGACGCATCGGCGATGCTGAGTGAACATCCGTCCCACATCTATTTTGACCAAATTCGGAGGTGGATAAACCTCCTACCCTGACACGTCGATTAAGTAATTGGCCGTTTTCTGTTCGCGAGATGGCGTCGCGGCCGTCATTTTTGCGGGTCCAGGTCCGTCGGTTTCGGTCCCAGACCGTTTTCACGAAGGGGAGGTTTACTAAAGGGAGTTTTGTCCACCGCCGACAAATATGGGATGCCTCCAGGGCAAAGGCCCCGACGGGAGACGGACCCAGAGTTTTTTCACCGCGTTCGCCTCCTGGGCCCCCGGGCCGTGCTCCGGAACTGCCCGAAAGCGACTCGGGGGACGACCAGCTGATCTTCTTGGCATCGCTCGGACGTGTGCATTTTTCTGTCGGCGAGGACCATCGAGGAGCATCCTTGATCATTTGGCGAAGAAACCACGCACGAAACCGAAAAATGCACAGGGAATGGACGTCCGAGCGATGGCCAGTCCTGGGGGACGGTCCCGGGGTCCAGGGCCCGTTGTCCTCGGGACCCGTGTGTTTCCTGCCGAAGGTGATGCAGAACGTGCGGCCCATGCAGCAGGCGGCGATGCAGCCCTTCCAGCAGATGGGCCAGCTCGGCCAGCAGTGGGGCGGCCAGTTTGACCAGCAGCAGCCGATGCAGCAGCAGCCCTTGCAGCAGCGGCCCTTCCAGCAGATGGGTCAGCCGCTCGCGGCGCCAGGCAACCAGCAGTGGGCGACTGGCAACCAGCAGTGGGCCCCGGGCGGCGGGCCGCTCGGCCGCATCGGCGGTTGGTGAGAAGGCAGCGCAAGGGTGCGCCGCGGCTGGCCCCGTTCCATCTGGCTGGCCCCGTTCCATCTGGTCGCCTGGCGACCCCGACGCCGAAATTCGGGGGAGGCCACAAGCGTGCACCGTGCCGGTGAGCGCTTCGCCCGCTCAGCGCCCAAAGCTGGGAAAAATGGCTGGTGGCAGCCGTTCCAGTTGCTCGCTTTAGCCCTTGCCAATCCCAGCTGGTTTCTTCAGCCTCTGCCGCTTCCACTTTCATGGAACTTCCACCAGCTTTCATGTTTACCAGCTTCTCTGTAGCTTCGCCAGCTGGCAGTAGGAGGTCATCATAGTAGTAGGAGGCGCAGGCGTTCTGAGCTTCAGATCTAGCTGCGTGCCCACGTGCATCCACACGGGGTTGCACACCGCGCTGGCGTGCCCAATGGAATTTGGCATGCTCTCTGCGGGGGCCGCGGGAGGTCGCGAGACAAGCGGTGGTGCCTGCCGTCTGCAGTCAGCAGCTGGCCAGCATAGCCAAGTAGCCACCGACAATACTGAATCCTCTATTCTGGGTCCTCCTTTCTGTGGATGCTCTCGGGTCCTCCCGTAGCGTCTAGGTGTCTAGGGATACTAGTGCTACTCCTCCTCCTCGTCCTCCTCCCCCTGCCTTTCGTCGCCGCCGCCGGGCGCAGCTCACAGAGCTGGCTGGGGTAGAGCCTGGAGGGAATCAGGTCCAAGTTTTGAGGGGGCGTTGGCCAGGTCGAGTTCCAGATCTTCAGAGGGGTCCGGGTCGAGAGTTTGCTCGTTCCCATCTCTCTTCCTCCTTACTGCTCCCCCACCTCTAACTAATTACGTTCTCTCTGTTTCTAGTCTTCCTCGTCATCCCTCTTCATTTTTCCTCCATCCTCCGTCTCCCTTGTCACTCTTTTCTCTCTTCCTGTTCTTCTCTGCTCGTTTCCCCCGCCTCACCGCTTACTACCGCCAGTTCCTTCTTTTCATTCCATCCTCATCTTTCCCGACTCCTCAGACTCGTCTTCCCCCAGGGGAATGCCCTCGGCCCGCCCCGACTGCCCAGTCAGAACCTGGTCTCCTGCTGGCTCCACTCCTAATCACCCCACCCGTTCCCGCGCCCTTCCTCCCTCCTCCTCCTCCTCCTCTTCCTCCTCTTCCTCCTCTTCCTCCTCCTCCTCCTCCTCCTCCTCCTCCTCCTCCGCCTTCTCCTCATCCGTGGCCATTTTGGCTCATGCTGGCTCGAACCCCCCTGGCGCGGCGGGAGATGCGAGCATGGTGGCTGCGGGAGGCGCCCCTGTGGGGGAGGCCTGGGAGTCGGCGGCGGCGCGCAAGGCTCGGCGTGGCCGCGCTCGGGAGGCTGCTGACCGTGCCGTTCGCAACGCAGTGGGTGCAGCCAAGCAGCTGGAGGAGCGGCTCGCTCTCGCCGAGTCCGCCCTTTCGAGCCTGGTGGGCGACGCTGCGCTCGCGGATCGCATTGCAGTGGTGATCCCAGCGCTGCAGCATCTGGCTGCAGGTCGGGTTCCGCCTTGGCTGGATCGCCTCGGGCGCAGCGTGGCGCTCCGTGCCCGTGCTCACGCGCTGGAGGGGCGGATCCACACGGCGTCGTCGTCAAAGCTCCGCACGGCCGCCAGGGGGCGGCGGCTGGGCGCGGAGAGGGGAGATCTGCATCGCGGAGCACGTGGCGTCCACGGCCGGAGGGGACGGGCTGCCGGCCCCACAGTGGTCGACGGCTTGGCGGCGGGAGGCCCCGCTCTTTCGCCTTGGCGCTGGGGCCCACTTCACTTTGCGAGAAGGAGTGGGAGACCTCGACGTGCTGCTGGAGGCACCGTACATGTCATCGTCTGCACGTCTTGGTTCCGGTGCGAGTCGTTCTTCTTCTTGCGGTTCGGCTTCGAGCAGTCCGTCGCGGACGCTGGACGGCGACCCTCCAGACCCCCATCGGTGCGCATCCTGACATCATCGAGGTGGAGTTCGGGGAGCAGCCGCCCGACCAGTTGGGGCAGGAGCCGCGGGACCTCAAGGCGGATCGGGATCAGAGGATTTCCGACGACGCGTTCGAGACCGTGGGCGACTACGCTACCATTGGGATTTTTGTGCTGCACGCACCGCTGCTGTTGTACATTCGGGAAGGGCCTTTGTGATGGCCAGGGCCCAGGTGGTGGGAGGAGTGTTCCGCGCGGGTTGTGGAGCCCAAGATGGCGGGGGGAGTGGCCATGACCCCAGGCCCTGCTGGCCAAGCAGAAGGCGTGAAGCGCGCATTCCCCGACGTCGGGAAAAGGCCCAGGCAGCGAGCGGAGCTGCCGGGGCCAGGGCCCAGGTGGTGGGAGGAGGGGCCCCCGCGGGTTGTTGGGCCCAGGTGGCGGGAGGAGCGGCCTCAACCTCACGCCCCGTCGGTGCTGCAGGTGTCGTGAAACGCGTGCATTCCCCGACGACGGGAAGGGCCCAGGTGGAGGGAGGAGAGGCCGTGGCCCAGGTGGAGGAGTGGCCGAGCGCCCTGCCCAGGTGGTGGGTGGAGAGGCAGGCGTGCATACCCCAATCGTTTCTCTTAGCATACTGCCAGAGCGGTAAGGCCACGCCTTTACCTGGAGTGTCGGCTGCAGCCTGTCAGTGGCTGTTTGGGCCTCCTGCATTGGAGCTACCTCGATGGCGCCGCTGATGCTAGGGCTGCTTTGCCGGGCAGCTTGGCCCGCTCCGCTCGCCTCTCCTTGCGCGCCAAGCGCTGGACGGCCATGGTGTTCGAGATCCGCGAGAGGGTGAAAGGGGCTGCGTCCTCACCTACCCCCACTCCGCTTCGAGCCGCTCTGCAAGCGCGGGTCGTGCATGAAGAGGGTCACCGCGAAGTCCGATGCTGTTCATGAGCCAGCGGATTACGGACGTCAGCGGGCTTCTGGCATCCGTCGTGGTCGCCGTCTCCTCAAGCAGGGGGCCCCGCGGGCAGACGCGACGGAGCAGGGCCAGAGGGGCCGCCGCGGCTCACGGGCGTCGGCGTGAGCTGGAGGAGCCGCCTCCTTTCCACCCCCTCTTCCTCTTTCGCCTCCCCTTTGTCTCCCTCAGGCCTCGGTGCGAGAGTGTCGACGGGCGGCCCGTGGAGTACCAATGACTCCTCCTCTTTCTCCTGTCCTCCTCCTCCTCCTCCGCCCTTCGCGTCCTGGCTCCACTCCTCCTTGCTCTCTCATCCCTTCTCTCGGGGGAGCGCAAGACCCGGGTTTGCCAGGACTCGGGTTCGCCATCGTTTTTTGACGACCGCGACTCGGATTTTGACGAGTAGGAGTTTCGTGGGATGTTTGCAGCGGGAGGCCTCGTCAAAATGCATGTTCGGCCTCGTCATTTTTTTGACGACCTCGTCGGGGATTTCCGAGTCCCCTGTGCCCGGGTCTTACGCCCCCCTGATTCTCCTGTCCCTGCCTGTTCTATCCGCGCCCCATCCCTTGGTGCCCCCCGTCCCCCTCCTTCCTTCGCCGTCCGCTGTCGTGGCCCGCTGTGGCAAGGCGGCGGGGGCGGGGGTGGGGAAAGCAAGGAAGAGCACCCAGGATCATGACGATGCTGCTGCTGATGCTGATGGTGTTGATGCTAATGATGCTGTTGATGACGCAGATGCAGATGTTGGCGATGCTGGTGTTGATGATGGTGTTGCGGGTGCTGATGCTGATGCAGAGGATGACGATGGTGATGCTGTTGATGATCACGATGATGGTGGTGGTGATGGTGATGATGATCATGATCCTGATCATGATGATGCTGCTCATGGTGCTGATGTTCACACTGATGATGCTCATGAGGGTGCGTATGATAATAATGATTATGACGATGATTCTGGTGATGATGCTGATTCTGGAGTACAATGGAGTAAAAGGGGAGGAGGAAGAGAAGGTGGATGAGTTCGGAGAGGACGAGGTGGGGAACCAGGGGGATCTGGAGGTGTAGGATGAGGATGAGGATCCGGAGAAGGATGCTCAGGAGGAGCGGGGGTAGGGGCTTGTAGGGCTCTCAAGTGCTGAGGGTTCTAGCTGTGGAGGCTTGGAGGTGGTCGATATGTACTGCTGTCCTCACTTGAGGGGTGGAGCCGGGCTTGGATGAACGAAGATGATGGCGTGGGGCAACTGAGAGAAGGTGCGGGATATGTTGTTCTTCAGCATCATGCCCTTCAGCTTCCGACTTCGCCCCTCTGTGTACACATTATGACATTTGCGTGTGCCCTCATACATGCAAGCGGACGATGTGTGCACACATGTGCTGACCTTTGGCCTCCAGCGGATCCCCTGGGTCGTGCTTCCTGGTTACTCGTCGACCCGAGTTGCGGCGGGTGCGCCGGGGGCGCCGAAGAGCGGTGTGAGGATTAGGGGGAGGGGATAGCGTGGCTGGAGCCATAAGGTCTCTGAGGTCTCCCCGATGGCATGCTCCTCTCAGGGACAACAATCGGTTTTGGGGGTGTTCGGGGTGATAGGTTCAGGGGGGTTGTCGGTGGTTCTTGATCTTTTCCGTAGCCCAGGGCGGTCTCCATCAGGTGCGCCTCGTCGGCAGCGTTCCGGGGGTGCCGGAAGCGTTCCAGACGGCCGCCGGAGAGCGGAGGTGTCGGCAGCGATAGGGCGGGATAGATACAGGGGGGGAAGCATCGACCCCCAGTCGCCCACTGATCACAAATAGGGGCCCGATGGCCCCAAGTTGCCCAAGAACGTGCGGATGCCTTATCGGGGGGCCTATCGCCGATGTGTCGCCGATTCCAGGTCGATGCTTCCCCACCGTGCGAGTCCCCCCCCTACAGTTGCCCCGCCCTTTCTTCTTCTCTCTTCTGCCTCATCGTTCTCCTATGCTTATTATTATTATTCTTGTTTTTCTTATTATTCTTATTATTATTCTTGTTATTATTCTTCTTATTCGTGCTTGTTTCTGGCTCTTCTGCCTTCTCTTCTTCCTTTCCTGCTTTTGTTTATTATTCTTCTTCTTCTTCTCCCAGCGCGCCCCCCGGCCCCCCGTCGGCGCTGCGCTGCCCATGCCCCTCTCCTGGGCCCCCGCCCTCGGCGTCCTGCGCGATGCTCGGCGCCCTGCTCGTGAGGGGCGCCAGGCTTCTTGCGGGAGGAAGAGGAACACACAGACACAATTAATCCTCGGTTCCCCAGAAAATATGGTAAAATATGGGAAGTGGGGGGGGGGAGAACAAGAACCCAGAAAGTATGGAAAAATATGGGGAATCCTTTTCATGTGTGTGTATTATGTGTGTGTCCTTGGGCCCCTTGATTCTTGCCATCACCGGGGGGGGGGGTCAGCGCTCGGAGGCGGCCAGGAGAGGGGGGTGGATGGCTAGGGGGGGGGATCTCCCGGCGGGGGCCGTGGT